TCAATATACTCCACATGTATAACTCAGTGAAACCCAAAAATACTGCTGGGTCCTACTACTGGCTACTAGTGCTAGAATCACTAGTTATGAGGTTCTAAATACATGAAAAATGCTCCAAGGAAGTAATAGTGTGTTAAGTTCTTAGGTCTTGATTACTTAAGGTAGATGAGGAATTAATCTTCTTTTTAAAGATCACTGCACTGTTCGAATTAAAATTCATTCTTTAAATTCCCAGTTTTGAATTTCATTGTTTCTCAGAGGGGTAGAAAGCAATTTACCTACGGTAAGTAAAATTGAAAGTGTTTACTTACAACAAACATGCTTTTTTTTTATACTGCACCTCTGAACTGAGTTCATTCACACTTTTCTTTTCATTTGAGATAGGGTCTAACCCAGTAAAGTTGCCCACGCTGGGCTCAAACTTGTGATCCTCCAGGTGCAGCCTCCCAGACTGCTAGGATTATAAGCATGTGCCACCATGCCTAGCTCAAAGATGCACTTTTTAATGTGTGATTCTTGGTTTAAAAACTATACAGAAGAATCCCATGATTTCTGAATATACCTTATATTTTTCATTCTCTGTACCAAACCAGTAATTGTATCATTAAAAAAAAAAAATCAGGGCGGGGGATTTAGCTCAGTGGTTTCGTCGCCTGCTGTGTAAGCCCAAGGACCCAAGTTCGATCTCTGGTACCAAGAAAAAAAAAATCAATTTTATGATTGCCAAAACCTTGATTAGCATTAGCAACTTTGTGGTATCCTGAAAAATAAAAATCAAATGTATTGTTTAAGACTGCATAATGTCAATCTTTTACATACAACCTTATAGGCAATACTGAATAACTTCTTGAAGTCTCTACAGCACTTATGATTAGAATGAGATTAATGAAATAAAAGAGAAAGAAGTTATTGAAGAAGTTGCCCTGAAAACTTTTTTGCTCCCCAGAGCTTTTCAGTTGACTTTTGGATGCATTTACAACAATTATTTTCTAAAGAGTCTTATTTGAGATAGTTTAAAGGTAATTAAGAACAAAACAGGATATGGATAGAGTGAAATGTGTCAGGAAAAGATTATCTCATTAGTAAAAGTTAGCTGACTCCTTGTCTTTAAAACATTAGTCAGCTCAGGCTACAAATAATCCCTCCAAGATCACATTTACCACACATTATTGAGCTCCTGCCATGATGGAC